TTTTATAAAGTCGGTCCCATCGAGCATTATCCCTTCAGTAATAATTTAATGCTGAACATTTTCCACAACGAGTCCAAATTATAAGAGGGTTACTTTTGTGAGTTTACGCATGGTGTTCTACTGTATCGGACTGGTTAGGAAGAGTATGCAGTTGCTCAAGCATAAATAAATATACGAAGGATTTCGTCTGGCCTGTTCAGTGCAGTATAGAACGGTATGGTGCTTACCAAATCACACTGTAATAAAAAATGGGTTGAGTTCGTTGAATACGTTATGGTTGTGTTAATGTTATTGGTTCGTGGAAATAATGTTTGGTTGTGGTTCAGAATGGGATTCGTTCCTAACCCCTCATCCCTACCCCTAACGACGCACCTGTTGATGGTGGTTACTGTCTATGAACAACATATCTCTGATAATCGTAATAATATTTTCAGTTATGTATTCAGAACTGTGCTCTTGGAAAATTTCTGAGTCATGTATTTTGATATAGTTTTTGTTGAGTCATCTCCAAACAGAACATGTTAATTACTTTCTACCTTTATACATACATAAACTTAACTACCTACTACATTTATCTAGTGTAACCTATTGCACTTTATGACCTGCATTACACTGATGGTGCTGGGTGATATGTATTTTAACAAAAGTCACTGAAAGAAAACACTTTTTAACAAGTGTTAGTATCCAGATAACTATCTGGGATGACAACAGTGTTCCAACATTATATTCCGTCTGCAAATATCACCAAGAACTGGCGCGTAATTTTAAGTCAATAATGGCTTCATATTCAACGTAAACCTCAACGGTGTCTGTTTCCAATTCATCTTGAAAGTTCTGTTCAGAGAAATAGATAGTTAATACTAAAACGTTCGCTGAAACATAGTTTATTATGTGATGTCTCTTCTCTGTGCGAACGAGACCTCTTTCAGAGCTGGAGAACATGTGGAAAAATACCAGATTTCATCATTTGTAAGTCAGAACGTTCACATGTTATATACGAAGAGTCGTAATCTTATCCGACACCATGGGTTAAAACGCTATCTGGTTAGGCGAACGACATTGGGATAAAAAGTACTACAGTCCCAGCTCATAACATTGAGTAAGCTGTGAGGAACTTGTCAAAGTATCATTTGCTTGCAGCGAACTTTTAAACGAAAAATGAATCTTTCAAAAAAGGCTTCAAAATAAACACTTGCAAAAGGCCACAATATTTAAATTACAAACGTAATCTATTTCATTCTTTTTTCAGACCTTCAACGTGTGTAATTTGATCGTGTGACTTTCCATCCGTCAGCAGGTTTATTTATCTATTTATAAAAGAAACATTTATATTCTTCCTTATTTAACATACACCCCCCCCCCCCGGTGGGACAGCGGTAAGTCTTCGGATTTACAACGCTGAAATCAAGGGTTCGATTCTCCTTGGTGGACACAGCAGATAGCTTTGCTATAGGAAAACACATACTTAACATTCAAAAGGTTTAAAATAATCTGCACATGATTCTTGTTTCTATTTACTTGTTTTTAGAATGCTCAGTTGTACTCAGCTTGTTTCCCTTTACTTTAGTTTAAATATTATAACACATTTGTTTTAACCTTATAATTACGTATAAAAGGAATTGTGATCTCAACAATGCAATGTTTACTTTAATAATGTGTATAGTTTAAATTCTAAAAATAATTTACGGAATTTTCAGTTTATTTGTCTATTTACACGCAAAGCTGCCCAATGAGATATCTGCGCTGTGCCCACTGCAAGGATCTAATCCCGAGTTTTAGCGTTATAACTTCTCAAGCTATGCTAAAGTTTCCCGCTGAGTCATTAAAAATAATCTATGATTTTATAAGGTATATTTGTTTCCTACAATACTTAACATTTACCTATTCAGGAAACGTTTAGGTAGATCAATAATAACAATAAAGGTCAGTAATCGTAGGTCTCGTTGCTACTATAGCATATAATTATTTGTATAAAACAAATTTTATATAATCATAAAGGCTGTAATACACATCGGAAATATTTAATATTTTATTTTTATAAATACCAAATCAGTATAATACACACGTCGCTTATGTTTTTGGCGATTGAGTTCTTTACTCACGCTTATTTATATAGATATTTGAAGAACGAGTAGCATTAATATAACATGGTTTTCAGCAGACTTGATATTTAAGGTAGCCTAACGTTTTCTCTCGTTCCCAAAATTTTTAATTTCAATTAGAAAGAAACATTAAACTTACTATATTTTTGGACGCCCCGCCTAAGCGAAAAAAGGGCATACAGGTTAGTTAATAACATATTATCATTTGAACGTAAGGTTTTTGATTTCGTCTTCGTTGAAATTTAAAGAAATTATGCCTTGCAAACTTATGAGTTTAATTTGATAGACAGAGAGGACTAACAGGTATCGGTGTTTTTATTTTCAAATATCCCGATTTCAGTCGAGAATGAAAATACTCGTGTAAAATAGTTTCAATACTGCATAGTGTGAGATTTGTTTAATCTCTGGTTATTGAGAAATTTTGTACAACAGACACTACATGAAGATTTATGACAGGCTGAGTAAACCAGGTTTAATACTCTAACATGTACTATCCACACTGACTATATACTAAATTGTACTTGTGCATCATCTAACTACAAGTGATGTAATGGTTGCGCAACTTGAAGTTTTATTACAGGCTAAATAAACTCACATACATTACTCACAATGCCTATATGCTAAAAACCATTACATCACTTGTAGTTAGATGATGCACAAGTACAAGCGCAACTTGAAGTATTATTACAGGCTAAATAAACTCACATACATTACTCACAAAGCCTATATGCTAAATTTTACGTGGGCATCAACCAACTACAAACGATGCAAGAAAATTATAACTTCTATGAAATTAAACTTAAAACTCCCCAGATGCACTGGCATGGAAAGTGTGTCATGGTGTGGCTTACCATTCATCACCTGAAAGTAATCTTAGACTTTATATTTTCTAATTTATCTTAGCTTAAATTTAAGTAAGCTGCTCGGCCATATATATAGTACAAATGTTATATAGATACTTAATGTTATATAGATTAGCTGGTTTATCAAAAACAAAACAGCTATAATTGATATAATTGATTATTTTCTAAACTTTGACATTTCTTAATAAAGCGTGCTATAATGACTGTACTTCAAATATTTCAACAAAATGATTAATATAAGATAAGACGAAACATTCACAAAGAAATGTATTTGTAAGCTGTGGCTGAAGTTGTTTTGACCTCATTATCAGTATCGATTGCGAAACTTTTGAATTACAAACGATTTCCACCTACACTCTAAAATTAGGTAGTGAACTCCACACATGGCACATGAAAACGAATGGTTATTGCACCTACTAGAAGGCACAATGTGAAGATATATTAAATCAAAAGAGAAATGCCTTTCAACTTTTATCTTGTCTTCTGACGAGGTGGTACGCTTGTTCTCGTTTGATTAGCGATCCAGCCATTATCACACAGTATACGCTAGTAACGTACACAGTAGAAGTACGAGTAGTTGCGACAAACATCGTGAATACCACCCACACACTACCTCCGCTATATGCACATGTTTATTGAATAACAAACAACAACCATTCTTTGACAACAGCATCTGAGGATAACTTACTACGTGTAAGTAAACTGGGGTATTTACGCACCTAACTCTGTAAACGCATGATTGAATTGTGTGCGTTTGTATGTTTATATGTTGTTATCCAAGGTAGGCGATTAACTATACTGATATGACTAAATAATACCTCATAAATTTCTAAACTCCAGATCACATTTGTTTTCATTATCTAACAAAAACGAAAGGAATGTACGGTTGCTTATGTGATCAAATTGATATACATAAATATTTACTGTGTAGAATTATGAAAATGTTAAAATACACTAAAACTATGAAATGTTTATGAATGTTTAAAATATAACAAAGTCATGCTTTAACTACCATCTCCTTTCATTTCAGAAAAAATTTCAGATTGAGTTCAAGTTAAATAGTGAAGCCTATTTCTAATCATATATATTTGTAATTCCGAGAACGCCATCTGTTGAGAGATATGGAGAATGTGCATGAATAAGTATAATAGTGACAGGGTTGCATTGACAACAATATACTTCTCCCGTGGCAAACTTATTACTCATCCAAAGGGTGGAAGGGTAAAAAAATTTATTTTACCAAAAAAGAAAAAAAAAAAAAAGGAAATGCATGAAAAAGCGCTGTGTTTCTGACAAATTTGTTCCCGTTGATGAATTAAAACAGCGATATTCTGAGGAACAATAATGCTTTCGGTGCTAGTTTTATGTAACGTTAGAGCGTACGTAATAATTTAGAGTTCAGGCGTAAACATAAAAATGTATTATGTAGATATCGCAAGGTGAAAAACATTCATTACTACCTTATAACATACTAAACTAAAATCTATAATCAAGTTTTCCAAAAAAAGAATTAAATTGACTTTAAAATTTGTCTTTTAATTTTGTATTATTTAGGGTAAGGGGATTTATATTTTTTTAGCATTTATTCAGTAGGACCATTTAGCACGTATTAGCTCTCAAAAGAAGAAATTAGTATGAAAAACGACACCATTTACGTTAATTGGTCGTCAGTTTACACTTTAATTCTATCATCTTAAATTAGTAATAAAACTGAACTACAAAAATTGTAAGAAGACGTAAAAACCTAGACTTTCGCGTCTGTCTGTGAACTGCTGAAAGCGTTATCACAGACACTTGCATAAGCCAAACACGTTAATCAAGATCAAACCGCACCTCGGCTTATGATTACTAAATACAACGTATAAAGCAAACCTGTCGCGCCTGGAGAGCTTTAAAGTCCCGGATATGAGCTGTAGGGGGAGGATAGGGGAAAGAAGAAGAAGGGAAAGAAAGTCCAGGACTCGTTTCCAGTGTTCGTTATAAACTATAAGTACTTTTTCTTTTTATGTTGTCGAAAAAAAAATGTTGGACAAAATCAACTTTCTAGACTATACTTAGAAATAATGACCTTACCGGTTATTCTTAGGTGTTGTGAAACGTTACAGCCAACTCTTCTTTCCTCTTCTTTCGACGTCGAACTTGCATTGATTCTAGTATCTGCTGTAATGCAAGACGGCTTGGTTTTTGTTACCGCAAAACTTGTCAGGCAAGGTGCACCCGAACATTCTGTGCTGCACAGCTTGCTTTGCTGCACTTCTGTTGCGCAAGCACTGTCTGCACTACTGCTTTCATATTGCAAGTTTGGAGGGATTACATCTTGAACAGTTATCAGTTCGTAACGGCCTTCTAGGGGTGTTTCTTGCTCAAAATCAAAATTCCATCGCATTTTCTGTTGTTCTTTTATCTTTTTTGTTTCTTCTTGTAAGCAGCGCAGATTTTCCTCGTGATCAACGGGGGTAAAAAGAGCGCGACGAGCCGACGAAAGTTCCGGTAAGCTGGGCTCCATCGGTCGCCTCACATTACGAGACATTATAACCCGCCGTATTACATCTCCCGCACTCATTGCTATAGCTACCTCGAGACCCCAGCGCTGAAACTCAAGTCAAAGATTTAAACCACGCGATATAGCGACAACTAAAGAGGGTGGCGGTCAACTCCCGAAAAAAATACACAACATTTTAGCTCCTGGAGATCCCGGCAACCCATTATTTTTATCCACCAATCCACACTCAGAATTTGAAGCGTCAGGTCAGAGGGTGGTAAAACAGCTCGACAACCGATAGAATATAGGCGCGTTTATTGGCTACTATCGTTGGTCGTTTTCCCGCGCTTTCGTCAATGGCCATGAAGAGGATTTAAATCCTTACTTGATACTTGAGAAATTGAGCATTAAACGTTCTTTTTAATGGCAAAGGGCCATAGAAACTTACTTTTTTTACACATTTCTAAGTGCTTTGTTTCACACCAGCCTGACATGTAATTTAAAGATATTTCTAAATGAGCAAAAATAAAAAAAAAATTAAAACAAGGTTAAAGAGGGATTTATGTGGCACTTTTATGATGTAAGTCAGGTGAAAAATCAAAATGAACGTGTTAATTATTGGGCTAAATTTTTGCTTTTAGTCTCATGATTTACAAAACATAAACAATTTTACATATCAAATAGAAGGAAAACTAACTGCTCGGACGCAGTTTTTACAATAACCTTGAACAACATTCATATTTTTACTTCGGGATCGACCTGACAACTTATGAAACAAACTGTATTAAAGCTTGAATTTTTTTCATTGTATTAGAATTTGCCTTAGTTGCTATGCAGAGACGTATCTAGGCCCTGGCACAGGGGGCCTGTGCCCCGATTCTCTTTGACAGTGCATCGAATCCATTAGATCTCTTGAAAAATCAGAATAGAAAACCATGATCAATATAATACTGAAACGCCGAAAATTCCAGCGAGTTCTGGGCCCAAGTCCCGAATCTTTTAAACACCTAGCGACGCCTTTGTTTTTAAATATATAAATATTATTATTTTTTATTGTCTTAATATCACTTATCGGTTGAAATAAAGCCTGCTATGATAAACAGTATTCTTAGAAATATATAATATAGTAAACAATAAGGATTTAGGAGGTCTTGGCTACTGTTTACAGAAACAAAACAACAAACTTTGCAGTCGAGTGTACAAAACGTTCATTTTAGTGCGAGATGAGTAATTAGAATTTAAAACCAACTCTCTCACGGCTTTATTCCAATTTTGACCAGATTTGTGTTAGTGTATTAATAATTTTGACCCCTTCAGAGGCATCACTAGGCCTGGCACACGCAGTCAGTGCCCCGATTCTACTTGATAGCGTCCCAAATCACAATTGGTGTCTTGACAGATCAGAATAAAGAAAAAAAAACATTGATCGATATCATACTGAAACACCGAAAATTCTTGCGCCTATGGGCCCGAGCCCCGAATCTTTTGTATACCTAGCGACGCCTCTGGTTCCCTTCCTCTTCATAATAGGTGTTAGCTGTAGAATGAGAAATCTCTAATTTTCACCTTAATTGTGTTAGTGTATTAAAAACTTTATCCCCTTCATCCTTAAAATAGGTGTTAGCTATAGAATGAGAAATATTTTTTTCTTATTTTAACCTTTACTGTGTTAGTGTTTTAAAAACTTTGTCCCCTTCCTCCTTAAATTAGGTGTTAGCTATAGAATGAGAATTTTTTTTCTTATTTTAACCTTTATTGTGTTAGTGTATTAAAAACTTTGTCCTCTTCCTCCTTAGAATAGGTGTTAGCTGTAGAATGAGAAATCCTTAACCTTAACTTTTAATCGTGTCTGTTTGCACTTAAAAACTGTTCAGTTGGAAACTACTGAATATACATTTGCAATAACTTTTCTATGTATATAGGAGACACCCTTAGTTGGAGTTGTTATATTTTATTGATACTGTGAGTGTGACTCTGTGAATAGTTGCTTTATACTATAGTAAATTTTGGTATGCACTGGAGGTCTAGAGTAGAAACGTTTTTCTCATCAAAAATATGTTAACGTTTGTAATACAAGATAGCTTCCTACTAAAGAGTGTTTTGTTTGTTTGTTTTGAATTTCGCGCAAAGCTACACGAGGGTTATCTGCGCTAGCCGTCCCTAATTTAACAGTGTAAGACTAGAGGGAAGGTAGCTAGTCATCACCACCCACCGCCAACTCTTGGGCTACTCTTTTTACCAACGAATAGTGTGATTGACCGTCACATTATAACGCCCCCACGGCTGAAAGGGCGAGCATGTTTGGTGTGACGGGATCCGAACCCACCTCCTACTAAAGAAGTTGGCCCGGCATGGCCAGGTGGTTGGGGCGCTCGATTCGCAATCTGAGCGTCGCGGGTTCGAATCCCGTCACACCAAACATGCTCGCCCTTTCAGCCGTGGGGGCGTTATAATGTGACGATCAATCACACTATTCGTTGGTAAAAAGAGTAGCCCAAGAGTTGGCGGTGGGTGGTGATGGCTAGCTGCCTTTCCTCTAGTCTTACACTGCTAAATTAGGGACGGCTAGCGCAGATAGCCCTCGTGTAGCTTTGCGCGAAATTCAAAACAAACAAACCAAAGAAGTAATATTTTGAAATGTTTCCTACTGAAAAGTAATGTTTTGAAAATGTGACTACTGTTTCAACATGTGGCCCAGAGATTAGCGTGCCTAGTCTACGAATTTCAGGATCTATGGTTTGTGACCCATTGCCGAATTAACGCGCTCCGCACTTTGAGGCCATATGGTGTTCTATAAGAGTGACGGTAAAAACCTCGTATTCGATCAGATAAAATTTGGTGGTAGATGCTGTTGACAAGGTGTCTTCCATCTAGTCTAACAGCTCAAAACTTGGTGCGGTTAAATACAAATGACCTTTTGTATCTTTGCGCGAAATTCTGAACCACAAATTTTATATAGTTAATGCTAAACCTTTATGAATAGTTGAAAAAAAAGGCTTCCACTAAGACCATATTTAGACACTAATATAACATATCTAGCTAAATAATGAACACAAACTAAAAGTGTATTAGTAAAATAATATATTTTACTGTTCTTAAGGTGCATGAACTGTAAATATCAAATATACTTGACAAAGAACTCCAAGTATTTATCTAAACATCTGACAATTTGAAGCTAAAACCGCCTATCTAATAACTTTCTTAATGTATCCATATTCATAACTTAACAATCTGACGGATTTATTATCATATATTTATTTTAATATTAACGTTTGTTTAGATTAAGTTTATATTCAGAAATATGCATAGCTTATAGTGTTAAATATGTATTGCGAAATTCCCGCCTATTCCCTAGTTGCAGAAGATTCTCGAGTGTAAGAATCAACAATATAGGTATGTACGTAAACGCTTAAATTTGTATTGTTACGTAATCTGAATTTTCCAGAAAGCCTCCACACGCCTATAAATATAATCAACGCGCCGCGCCAAAAGAGAGTATCTATTATTAGTGTGCTATGGTCAGTGTGCTATAAACTTCGGAAGCTATAACTGTGATCGGAAAACGTAAGATATTTGACCAGGAGCATTTACAAAATTCGAACATTACAAATCATTTAAATTCAGTGGATTCTCATTAGACATTAGTTTTTTTACGAAAACATTACCCAAATTCATCGTGGAAAACTCGGCATGTGTGGCTGGTAAATAACGTAGGTCAAAATTAGCTAGCTTCCTGTTAAGTGAATTATACCTACGTCAACTTGTAATCAACTCGCTCGTCGTGAACCCTCAATAATATATCGAAAAAATTCCAGACTAAAAGGAAGACTTTATATTGATTGTAAGTTTGTGAAACTTTTGTTCATAAATCTTTGTTTGTAGTAACTATTTGTAATAATTGTTATTGTAAAGTGTATTGTTGTGTGTATATTAAAACGTATTTGTGTTAAAAAAACTGTGTGTTTCAACCTTGTT